CAAGTGCTGGGCATAGAAGCCACAGGGCATAAATCTGCAAAGAAGTAAAAAGCTAACCTTTGCAAACAATATGGCTTCTCTCTCACTTACCAACTTTACATTTCCCTGTATGGCCCCGGAAGATGACTGGTTAGCCAGAGACGGGTAAGATTCCTCAAGGGAGGAACAACCTAAGACAGGCACAGTCGCAGGGGGGCCATCAGGTGAGAATTTGGGGATCAACAGAGGTGAGGCTCAGAACCTCACCCCCCCTGCTTTGAGAGAAATCTTCTGCATCCGTGGATGTCTTGCTGCCCTTGTCTAGCCTGGATTAATACTTAGTCCATAGGCACACACCTGATCATCTGATCATCTACATTTGCCTTCTTACAGCACTAAACTATGTTTTCTACCTTTATCTTGCATCTACCTACCACTTCAGCATTTTATTAAAAATAAAAATAATAATAATAATAAAGGGAGAAATGTGGGATCAACATATAAATCAAGTATAAAAATCAAACGAATATTCATATTTGACCTGATTGTTTATAGTTCATAATGCGTGATCAGAACCTAAAGTTTCTGTGATGAATGCCCTTTTACTGTTCACCATGTAAGAATTTATTCACTATGTAAGAATTCGTTCACCATGTAAGAACTTGTTCGTTATGCTTCAGAAGACTGGAGACTGACGAGAATTAGGCTTGAGATGGATTAATGATTGTGCATTGAGCATTGACCCCCCTATACAGAATTTTATTGTTGTTAACAACCATTTGATCAATAAATATGAGAGATGCCCTCTCAAAAAAAAAAACAGTTTGTCATCAATAGCACAATTGCTGCGTGAATAATCTTAGAACAAGTGAGACCATTCAAGGTTTTTTTATTGCATGCTATCATTATGCTTGCCGCATAAAACAATGCTTTCTGGGAATTTTTTTTATAAGAGACAGCTCTCTCTAGTTTATATTTCTTAGTTCAATATGAGATATCTAAAAGATGAAAGAAGTTAGCTATTCTGGTTAGAGGGATAATACTGTATGTAGCCATTGATGATTTATGCAGTTAATTAATGAAAAAAGTTGCACATATAATGAAACATTGGTGAGCTAGTCCTCATTACCATTATATTTGTCACCAAAACTTAGTAACTTCCTGCATGCAGATACCAAAGAACATTTTAACATTGATTAAACCACTACAATGGTATTGGATGAAAGGGATACAGTTAACCCATATTTACATATGAGAAACAGAGTTGTAGAGATTAAGACAGTGACCTGGAGAGATGGAGAGAGATTTTTTTTTAAGTATTTATAATACTACAATATGACACTGGCAAAAATGGAAATAGGCATAGACTCCCTCAACCTCTGCTGCCTCCGTGCTGCCTCATAATGGAACAGAAGCCTGGTAATTAGGGCTTCTGATTTCTACGAACGTTCTCACTCACTCTTCCACCCTGCGTTCCCTCAGCACTAATGAATTGAGGATTAATTTGCAATAGATGATTGAAAAAATAAAAACCTTTTTCCAATTCCTTTAAGGCAAAAACCAGTTCTTTCATTTTCTCTGAAGTTTTCCTTATTTCTCTGGCTCAGCTTCATGAAATGTAAAAGTAGTAGAAGTGTTCCCAAGTTGGGCAAAGTTCATTGGTGTGGGAGGCAGAATAATGGCCCCCCATGTCCTAATCCTTGGAAGCTCACACGACATGACAAAGAGAATCAGGTAGCAGATAAAATTAAAGTTGCTAATCAGTTAACCTCAAAATAGCAAGGCTATTCTGGACTGTCCTGGTAAGACCACTGTAATTACAAAGGTCCTTAAAAATAGAATTGAGAGGCAGAAGAGAGCTGGTTAAAGAGAGATGCAGTGAGATACACTACCCGCATTGCTGGCTTTGTAAACGGAAGGAGACAAAGGAACTCAGGCAGCCTGTATAAGCTGGAAAAGGGATGGAAACTGATTCTACCCCCAGGGCTGCCAGAGGGGCTGCAGCCCTACAGCAACTTGATTTTAGCCCCATTAATCCAAGACCCGTTTCAGACTTTTCACACCAGAGCTGTAATATAATATATATTTGTTGTATTAAGGTATTAAACTACCAAGTTTGTGGTAGTTTATTACAACAGCCACAGGAAACTAATCCAGTGGGTACCTATTAACATCCTATTAACACCAGAATTACGGTTCTGTGTTACAATCTGGGTGGGGGGGAATACTGTTCTACCTCGAATAGGGGCCCACATCTGACTGGCAATCAATAAATATTATAAATTAAGTAATTCATTTTTACTGTGTGAAAACTGGTACTTGGTCATTGGACTCACCAATCTGTTTGCCTCTATATCCCATTTTCTTCCTATTTTGCATTTTATAATGACAATTCCTATTAACCAGCTTGAATCATGAAGTAAAATGTGTTTGCTTTAAATAGTATGGAATGTATTCATGCTTCTCGCATTTTAATTTGCATAAAAGTCACCTAGAGGATTATCTCAAAATACAGATCTGACTCAGTAGGTCTGGGGTAAAGACGTATATATATTCTAACAAGTGGGCAGGGGATGCCAGTGCTGGTGATCTGTGTATTACACTTCAGGAGCAAAGAAAAGAAGATGATCCACGTCAGATCCTGCCTGGTTCCCTGCTTTGGCAACCTTTCTGTTCTCACAGGTGAAATCAGCAGCAAACCCTCCTTCCCAAAGCTTTTAGGACCATTACCAATCTTAAACAGAAGATAATTCAAGCCATTTTAGTTAATACTTAGAAGACTCAGCTTCTAATTAATATGGTAATTTTAGTTTTTAAAATGAATATTTCTCATGAAAGACAATTTATAAAAGAGGAAGAATAATGTTAATCATCCACAGTTCTAGCACCCAAAGACAAGCCCTATTAACATTTTAATGTCTTTCCTTCAACACTTCTCTGCAAAGATTGTTTTACGTATTTGAAATATCTTAATGTATTATCTAATGTTATATACATACATATATATATATTTACTCAGGGGAGCAGATTGAATTATTCATCCCAATTCTTCACTGCCGTCTAATAGCACTCTTGGCACTCTAGTGAACAATTCCTTCTAGTAGAAATATGCATTCATTCTTGCCCAGCTAGTAGACAGAGAGTAGTACTTCCCACAGCTTGAATTTGGGCTTCACCAAATGACTTAACTTGGTCAGTGGAATATTAGTGGACAAGTGTTTTTAAATGCAGGTTTTGTTATTTAGAATGACAAGGCCGATAGATTAGGAAATAGCATGCATTGAGAAGAAAGTCTGTCATATTCAGATCCCAAGAGAAAGGGACATGCCATATCGCAGGCTACACCGAGAAGCAGCAGAGTCTGTCAGGAGGCAGAGGGAGCAAGGGGAACTGCGGGCTAGACTTTTTGATTGTGGATTCCATGGGAAGGAACGGGTAAGGCAGGATGAACAAGCTTGGCTGGTTTTAATAATTTCAGTGGGCCCTATGGTCCAAGGGCTATCCCTAACAGTCTGCCACCCCTCCCTGGGGTGATTGGGACAGGAGAATATTGGTGCAAAATCCGAGTTAATAAAGGTGATGGTTTGGTGTTACGGCCTTTGAATTGGTTTACATATGAAAGGTGCACTGGAAGCCTAGTTATCTGCTATCTTCAGGAACTGGTTAATCCTGGGATAGCAATCCCTTCCAAGATGTCAAAGCATCAAAAATACAACCTAATAAGACATGATTAACACAACATGATGTAAGCAGAGGCTCAAAATGTGCTGATGTGGCTGTCCATGAGGAGGCAAGCTCACAGCCATGGCTGCAGAACAGCCACAAGTGGAGCAGACCTAAACCTGACTCAAGACCAGGAGCTCAGCCAATTAGTGCTCAGCTGGAAACTGAGTTAAACTCCAGCCAACCCACATAAGTAGGAAACTAATGCTTATTGCTGCATGCCTCCGAGATTTTGTGCGTGGCTGTTACACAGCATTATTGTGGTATTAGTAACATAGAAGTTATTACTAGAAATTGGGTGTTTTCATAATAAACCCCAAATTATGTGCCACTGGCTTTAGTACTTGGGTGCAGGCAACAAGGGAACTGTTCTAGGTGGCTGGAAAAATGTTGATCGGTGTTATACAGTAGTGAAGCATTTGTTATAACTGTTACTTGCAGCAAACCAGAAGACAGAAAATGGACCTGATAAAGCTGGGATGATGAGCAGATGCCGGAAGGCTGAGCGCTTTCCTGCTGACTGCCCTGAATAGGAACTGTAAGAGATGGCTCAGGGGAAAACACGGCTGGGTTGCATGCAGACTGAACTGAGTGAACAGAGCCCAGAAATCCTAGGATTTGCAGGGATAAAAAATTGAACTAATTGAGAAAATTTCTGTCACCTTGAACTAAAAGTGACTGTGATTTTTTGAGATACAAAAATATCTCAGGACTCCTCTTCCCCCGACTTTCTTCAAGCAGGAAGCAGGCTGAGAAGGCTGCTCAGCCACCAGACCAGGCATATTCTCCAAAGCCATCTTCAGACATGTTCAAGGGGGAATTTTTGCAAAGAAGGCCCTCCTACAGAGTGGAGACAAGAGCCTGGGGAAATCTTGACTAGGGTCCTCCCACGGAGCAGTAATGGGATCCAATCAAAAGAACATTCCCTTTCCCCCAAGGTAGGGAAACCTGGCAACATTAGCCTCCCAGGATTTCACAGCTGCTTATAAACCCATGCCTACTGTGTGCTTCTCACTCTTCCCCTATTTGAATGGGGCATTTATTGTGGTCATATTGTTCCTGTTACATTTTTGTATGTTGGGTGTGGGAGAAGGAGATTAAGACTTGCCTTTGTAGTTCAAAGGTCTCCTAGACCAAGAGGAATAACATCTGGAGGTGACACAGATCAAGTGATGGTAATTGCTAGCCGAATGCCATAATGGGATGAGATTTTGGAGAATGTTAGAATGGAAAGGGGGTGAGTATATGTGGAAGGGATGTGAATAACAGTGATGGAGAGCAGACTGCGGTAGACTGCATTATTGGTTCCAAATCTTTATTCTCTTGTAATAGAATTATACATACACATTCTTGCACATTCTCGTGGCAGGCAGAGGATAGCTCCCAACTCCTCAACTTTAGACTTCACCATATGGCTTCCTTTGAATAAGTTAGTACACATGAAGCAAGTAAATGCTTAGATGTGCTGTGCTGTCACTCATGCCTTCTTGCTCTCTTGCTGTCTTTCACTCCAGGAATCTGCCATGAGAAGAGCTTTCCCCTGATAGCAGATGCCCCTTCAACCTGGGCTCCAAAATGAATACAGTGCATCATAAATGAACCTAAAACCAAAGTCAGCTTACCTGGAGCCAAGAGCAGAGCCGTACCCCAACTGACCTGCAAATATGTGCATGAGAAATAAATGCTTACTGTTGTATGCCACCCAGATTTAATACCTGTTTGTTATGCAGCTTTGTTGAATGACAGCAGACTAAGACATGCATTTTTTCCATAGCATTGTATATTCTTAAAAAACACTTTAGTAAATACATCAATTCCATTGAGTAGTTTCACTTAAGAAACCATTCCTTGATTTGAGACATTTAGGTTTTTTCCTAGTTTTTTGTTTGTTTGTATTTTTTCTTCTTTTAACAATACTATAATAACATTGACACATAATTTTTCCCAAATTTTGGGTTATTTTTATAGGATTAAAATTGGATAATAGCTAGTTCATAGTTGTAAAGATTAAAAGGCTTAAAACATATGAAGTGCTAAGTATGCTGTTATATAATAAAACTCAATAATTATTGTTTTTATTGTTTTCCATTATAGAGTCTTAGAAGTTGGAAAAAACAATTCAAAGCTCTTGACATGAAATGTAAAATGCTTTCCAAATGAGTTATACCAATTTACACTTACAGCAATATATGAATTTTAGCACATTTCCAACCAGCTGCAATTTTTTAAAAGTGGCCCTTTTGACAGGTGAGAAATAGCATCTTACTCATATTTCAATTTTTATAGCTTCGATTACAAATGAGGTAGCAGTTTTCTAATGGATTTCTAACATATATAATTCTCTTTTGTGAATCACCAGCTAACATACCGGTCTCCATCGGTCCTCATGAGTCGAGCCTTCCTCTGGCCTGGAAGACACCCCAGTGCCGAAAGACCCACTGATCTCGGTGTTGTCTGTAGTCATGTGTGGCTGCTAGGCATTATGGGTACATTTTTGACAGGATAGTATTTTGGATATACTGGGTTCAATATAATTTTAGAATTTTAAAATATAAAATAAAACTTATTTTACATGCTTCTTTTTATTTTTTTAGAATGTAGATAACTAGAAAATTTTTAATGAGATGTTTCTGTGGGGCAGCGTCAGCATCTCACAGTGACTGTGAAGATGGTTCTCCTGATGGTAAGGAAAACACTCAACACAGCCGTCAAGGTCAGCAAACCACTTTTGCCCCCGGTTGGCAGAGCCCCCCAGCTCCCTCCTCCCCTCCTCCAGGCTCCTGCTTTGCCCTGCGCATGCTGAAATGCCACATGTCAAAATAATATAAATTACTCCCTTTGTTTGTGCTCAGGAATCAGGCCTTGGGAGGTTACTCCTCTGTGAGCCCGCCGGTGTGAAATAAAACCTCAACACTCCAAGACCTTCAAGTGCCGCTTGGTTCTTCCATCAGCGATCCAGTCCAGGTTTTCCAGTATTTTCCATAACAATGAGACTGCCTATTGCAGTCTATCACCTGCAGTGTGTTGTACCTTCTAGATCTCTCTGGGCTGAGTCCAAATTCCTCGCCTCCATTTGATTCTCCAGGTCCCACCTCCTTCTAATCCAGCTCCCTCCTCCTGTGGTTTATCCTCCCATGTCTGCCAGCACATCTCAGTTGGGTTTACTTGGATATTCCCAGGTGAAACAGCAAACTTGATAAGGAGTTTTAACCCTACAATGTGTTGCAAACAGATTGTATTCTTTATCACCTATATGCTGATATTCTATTTATTGTATCACTGAAACATGATTTTGCAAAGTTCTTATATTTCGCCATTGAAAGGTCACAAACATACAAAGCAAGTAAACTTCATGTGTTTTCCAAATTCCCCTGCCGCTGCCCACACTTTCCAACACAACCCTGAACCCTCTCAAACCACATTAGTGAAAATAAGCAAAGGTTATGCCTGTAGCTACTAATGCTCAAAAGTTCCCCCAACACCAGCTCCAATTAACCAAAATGTCACAGACGTTTACTCATAATACCTGGGGTTTTCTAGTCTAGAGGGCAGGATGGGTATGTGTTAATTTACCTGGCTGCAGTAGGAGCATCTTAAAGAGCTGTATATGAAGCATTCAAGAATAAGAAATCCTTGCAAGGGCAAGGTAGAATTCTTAATGTATTGAAAAAGATTATCACATGTCACTTGGAAATTCAACCTCATTTTTACATTCACAGCTCTTTCCTGGATGTCTGAATTTTCATGGTTGTGGGACTTTTTCACCTTAGGGAAATAAATATCTGTACCACATTTTTAATGTTAGACCAGGTTCCTCCAGTGCTTCTGCCCTGACACAGCATGCTTCTTTACCACCTCCCATGACATCCCCATGGGTGGCCAGGGAATTCAAACCAATTTGAATATGTAATCGTGTGGGATGATAAGCTCCAGTGTACTCTCTCTGGGGTGCTGTCTGGATGCTACTCAGTTTCTGCAACTAGTTCCCTAAGTACCTTTGAGAGATGCTGAGAGATGCTGGCTGTTAAACTTTTCCAGTTTAGCCATTCTCTGCTCCCACTAGCTAGAAGCCCAGGTCCAAAGAAGGTACAGGAAGTTTCCTTCCTTCTAAGACCCACAAGTGCACATTCTTCAGAACCCAAGGGAGAGAATTGGACAGGCTTTGTATCAACATATTTTTAAAGCATTCATTATTCTGACAATGGAGTACCATGAAACTAGCTTTTATTGCTTTTATACAAGTCATGTAGAGATTTACCAAAACATATTAGAGTACCAGGAAGTAAATAACTATTGCCTTGTTATATGAATATGAGAAATTTCTGTGAAGATGCCTAAATATTTTGATTAATTTTAAAGTAGATGAGCTGATGTATAGGTATTTGCAACATCAAAATACTTCTCTAATTGAATTAGTTTCAAAAATCCAACATAAAAGATAGGATAGTCATCTTAAATAGCATTTTAAATTGGGTACTTTGGTATTCTGAAGTTTCAGAATCGGATTTAAATACCAGAGTGATCAGTTTGTCAGGAAAGACCTCTCTCTGGAATTAGTAGCCAGACCGAAATGTGAAGACACCTGCTATATCTTGAATATACAGTAATGATGAATAATCCCAGCAAGTATCAGAATGGCAATCAGTGTTCTTTCAGCAATACAGGCTTGCTTAATCTTCAAAGCATATGTCTTGGAGATAGATATTATTTGACTTAATTGCTGACAGTTGTTGAGCTAGAGACTTCCTTCTCAGTTGCTTATAAAAGTCTAAGAATAACTCATCTTTCTTGAATTTAGGCATATCCACTCAGTTTCAAATTCTGACTTGAAACTCAGTCAGAATTTCTGCAGATTGAGCTTGTACTATTTTTAGGTGGAGTTCCAAAAAACAGCTGCAATTCAAGTGTCACAAATGCATACCTTTTTGACTCAGCAGCTGAAAGTTCTGCTTCATGCCCTTCTCAAACTCCTGCAGCAATAATATAGAGGCCGTTTGGGACATGCTGTGCTGGATTATGCATCCTCCATCTCTAGCCCCTTGAGGTTTACGATATGTGAAACCTTATCATGGGGCTCTGAACACCTCACGCTGATAAATGCTCATTGAAAATGAGGCTGCCTGAAATTCCACAGGCTACCATGATACATGATGGTCGTGACCCCGAGGAAGGAGAGAGAGGCACCGAGGATGGAGACATCCTGAAAAGGCACAGTCAGAAGAGAAATCGAATGGAAACTGAATGGCAGAGAAAAGAAAACCTCCAGGTAATGGCTTGAGAGAGGAAGCAGAGTCCAAGTCCACAGTTAGGCATCAGATAAAAGTTTTCAGTTTTAATCACTGTTATTTCTTAAGAATCTTGCCAAGCACTCTCAAACAGAGTGGGCCAGAGCCCTTTCTCTTGATGTCTGACCCACTGCTGCTGTCTGCCTCAAAAGCTTCCCAGGGCTTTCCCCTTCCTTCCTGGCAGCACAAACCAATGGCCTAGAGTAACATTACTACAACTATATCTTAAATTTGGAACCCTTTCATGTAAATATCTAAGAACCTACCTAATTTTCTAATTCTGTTGCTACAAAAATAAAGAACTCTGTGTTTATGGGCTGGTATGATTATTTTGGCACATTCTTCTGCTGGTATTTCCCCTTTCCCAAGCATATGGGCACAACTGAGCTCATTGCCTCAGGAAAAGGATGCCCTAGTCAGAACGTAGAAACAGCCAATGAGCACTGTGTCTGTGGGCCTACAGGGCTTGGGGAATGATGTATAGACAAAATGCATGGAGGAGACAGGGGTCAGGGAGCCATCATTTCTTCCACTCTGCCTAAAATAGGATTTTCCGTGGGCTGAGGGAAGTAGAGTGAAAAGTAGGCAAAGGGAACAGACAGGAAGATAGCTCCAGAGGCCAAGTTCCCTTTTTTCTAGGCTGTTTGGCTGGGAGGTACCAATACCCCAAAGAGGAAACAACTTAGCAAAGAGTTTACCTGCAACGGTCTGTCACCTCTTACCGCTGCAGCCCTTAAGTGACGCCGCAGAACATCGTGTGAGCCTCCAGTCCTGAAGGGCCCTGCTGCAGGCCAACTCTCTCCGGGTAACCCTGTGGGAACAGACGACTCAGGCCCAGAAGGCTCCCTGCCCCCCAGGTCACTGGCCAAGGCCCTTCGTAGATATCTCTAGGTCCTTTGTCTCAACCCCACAGGAGGTCCAAGCTAAAAATTACCTGAATTTACTATTAACCTGGCAGTAGGAGGGTTAAACAGAATTGGGTTACAAGAAATGTTTATTTTTATAGATTAACTGAGTTTGTAGAGTGAGATTCATAGATCTACTATCAGTACAATAGATATCTGTAACTACCTAACATAATAAATGCTCAAAATACTATCTCTACTATTACTATTAACATTGTGAATTCAAAGTCAACTACAGAATCCAACAGGTGCTTTTCACTTGTATGACTATCAACTGACCACATGGTTCTTATGTTCAAATTGAAAAATGTTGATTCAGTTCATTTTGCTTTTAAAATCCATTCTTAAATAAAGAAAAAGGGTAATTTACTGCCATTTTAGGAGGCAGTGCACAGGAGAGAGGACAGGAGATACACCTCCTTGCCCAGGAAAGCGTCCTGCCTGCCCAGCACTCCGCCCGCTCCCTGGAGGCATCGGCCTGCGTCAGGGCTGTCTGCTCCGCCTGTGCTGCTCCCGCGTCTCAGTTATGGTGACGAGTGTTTTGGCTGCCTACTCAATATCCTGTTAGCTTCAGTTTTTAAAAATTACCATATGAATCTATTTCTCCACCAGCTTCTTTCCCCTCCTCCTCGTTCTCCTATTTCACCATCTCTGCAGATCCTTCCTTCCTGGCCGTTCTGCCCAGCCCCCTTTTCCTCTCCCACACCCTGTGACCACGTTCATGCCCATGGGCATCAGGTGGAGACCATGTGTCCCAGATCCCACTACGCTCTCCTGAGAAGACAGGCATCTCTCCCCCGGGGCCACCAGTATGACTGTCTCCGGCTCTCCGCGCACTTCCCTGCCTGTGCTTTTCAAGGCCTCTTGGAAGTTCTTTTTCTTCTTAAATTTTACTGCTACCTACGTTCTCACCTTAGCTCTCTTCTTACTCTACACCCTCTTTTGAAAAATCCCAGTGATTGTAAAAATCTCAACAACCATACGAGCTAATGATTCCCAGATCCATCTCCAGTTCAGGGCCTCCTGAGCTCCATGTCTTTATGTTAATAGACATCTCCACCCACAGCATTTTAAACATTTTAAACACAAGTCTAAAAACAAAATTTTTTACAATGACCCCATTCAGCAATTCCTGTGTTTCCAATTTTGGCACAGAAACCATTCCTTTTTGTATACCTGGTCAGATCTCTGTCTCATTCCTTCCTAGAATGTTTGATTCAATCTCCTGTTCATTAATAAATAAACATATTGCCTTTTTCTCCAAGAAAAACATTCAGGCAATATGCCTACACCTAGGTAGTATTCAATAAATATTTGCTAAACGAGTGAATCTTTTCCATGACCTTATTAGCCTAATAATCTTATCAGAAAGGAAAAGGAATGTACTGACAAAACTTATATTTATCAACCAGTGTCAACTCTGTGGTCATTCTTTTCCTTTCCTAAATGCTCACAAACAATCCATTTACCATTTTGCTCAGGATAAACAGAGAGCTTATTGGTTTATAATTCATGAAATTACAAGTAGACTCTTCTGTTTTCTTTTGGGAATCTGGATAAAATCTGTTTCTGTGTCATTGTTTGGACACGTACTCATGCTCTAGCGATGCCTCCTAGATCGCCACTTGCAGCCATAATCTTAGCTGCTCTTCTTTCCGGTTGCCTATGACATGAGCAATATGAACTCATTTGGGTAGCTCTCTTTCTGTCTAAGAACTTAGACTCCTCTTACCAATGTTTATTCTTCCCTTTCTGACTGAAAATACTTCTCTTTGACCAAGAAGAAAAAAAATTAAAACACAAGGTTGATAGTTCTGGGGGGTTTTTTCTGTTGTCTGTTAACACTACACAAATTTCCTCAAACAATAGACAGCCCTTCCTTATTTTTCTGACTCTACAAATGACTGAGGCTCTACTCTGTCCTTTGTATTTATTGCAAATATCTAGCTCTTTGTTGCCAGGAAAGGACTGTGTTAATCCCAGGTCACCAAATCTCTCAGGTTTTTAGAAGCTAGAAGTCTCAATTTTAACCTTCCTAATCCAGCTTTTCCAGGTTCCTAATGCTTTCCATTTCTAAGTTTCTTTCCTTTCCTTCTAGCTTATGGTTTTACCAGTTTAAAATCTGTATTAAAGTATCAACAATAACATTGGCAGATAACAGTTACTGAGCACTTACTGTGTACTAGGCACCTTACAGTCAAGCTTTTAATTCCACAATAATCAAATGGAGTAGGTATCATTAAAATCCCTACATTATGGATGAGGAAATGAGATTCAGAAGCCTTCCGTGATCACAGAGCTGGTAAACAGCAATTGGGTTCAAACTTGGGTCTGAATGACTCAAAGTCGAAGTCCTACTGCCCAAGTTTGTTGGCAATTTCTCTTGTGTTGAAGTTGCCACGGAACCAAGCTCATGGACTCAAAGGCTCCCACAGTCATGCAGAAAATGCCTATGAACGAAAAGAGCCAAGTGTTTACATGATAAACATGTTGAAATATTCTTAGCTTCCACAAAGACATGTGTTTCTCTTCTTAAAAAATTTCCCCAGGTTCAGAGAGATATATGGCGGAAAATATTTCTCTTAACATACCAAAGTTAATAATGTGAGCTTAATGATAAATGGCAAGTAGGTATTCCCCAGGCTACGGGAACTGACAAGAAGTGGAAGGACCAGGGTTTCCTGGGAAGCACATTTCCTACCTCAGGGGTTCTCAAAGTAAGTCCCCTGACCTGCAGCATCAACACCACTGGGAGCGTGACAGAAGTACAGGCTTTCAGACCACAGCACACTGGACCACAGGCTCCTCTGCAGCACTCAAGGAGTGTGCCAGGAGAGGCTAATGCACTCCGGGATGAGACCACTGCACACTAAAAGGAGAGCCTGCCATTCCAAACAAAGGAGAGCCTTTGTTGCCAGGAAAGGACTGTGTTAATCCCAGGTCACCAAATCTCTCATGTTTTTGGAAGCTAGAAGTCTCAATTTTCATTCTCCCAATTTTTAAATACTGCCTCAAATGTTTTCTAATACTGTATAGGCTAAGCAGAACATGTTTACAGTCTGGTTATGGCCCAAAGGCCATCAATTAAGGACCCTAAATAGAATCTGCTTTATATTAAACATTAGTTACATTATTAATAACTATTTAACAAAATGTCAATGATTCAGCCAAATGAATTAAGATCTCCTTTTCATTACAACCACTTGTTATGGAGTTAAGAAATCCTCCTACCTTACAATAGCATTGAATGGAATTTAAATGTTTTGATCAAAATTTCTTTACTCTGCTGTGAATTATCAAGATATGATTCATGTTTGAACTCTTATGAAATAAAACATTAGCTCTAAGGATTAAATAGCCGCCCACAAACATTTACAAACTAACATATACTGTGTAAATTTTGTTTTATTTACGGTGTGTTTATTTGTGTGCAGGAAATAATGAAGACTTTCAGATCAAATAAATCCAGTTTAACATTTTAATCAGCCTGTGACAGGCGTCTATCTTGTTGTATGATTATGGACTTTAATTATTGACTAAATAGTTCTGAGAACCTACCTATGCCCCCAGATCAGGCAAAGAGTTTGGGGAAAGTGTTTCAGGAAAAGGGAACATCATTCATGAAGGTCCCAACATGAAAGGCTGGCATATTTCAGAACAGAAGTTCCAAGACATGGAAGTAAGATCAGTGTGATGGATTGTTCAACATGAGGTTGGGAAGTTGGAGAAAGCCCATTGTGGAGGGTATTATTGGCCTCCGTAAGTATTTGGGGCTTTATTCTAAGGACAGTGGGAAATCATTCACAGATTCAAATATAGCCATGATTCTCTAAAAACTGAGTCTTTAAAAGATCAGTTTGGTTATATTATGAAGATTTGGTGGAAAAGAGTAGATATAGAGCAGATTGGTTAGAAAGGTGTTCCAGGAGTCCTGGTGAGATATGGTGTTATGGTGGTTGTAATAAAAATAAAGAGACTTACACAGATTTAAAAAGTTTTCAGGAAGTTGAAATGATATGGCTTTGTGGTTGCTGCTCCGATGTCAATCAATCAGAAGACCCTGGTGCCAAGGGCCATCTCTAGAACAAGCCATCGGGATTCATGTCCCAGCCAGCTCTGAGTGCCCACCCCAGTGCTCTGTCTAAGCCCAACCTCCTTCCAGCACCACCACAACTGCTGCCTTCCTTATCCTGTGCCTACACCGTACTCTAGATTCCTAGACCTTATACTCCACATTTGTAAATGTATACAGTGCTCCAAGAAAGCAACCACTGCTTATAATTTCAATGCTACGTGAAATTGTGCTGAGTTTCAAAATCAACTTCTGCAAAATGGCCTGTTTAAAAGTTTGATATTTCCAGATTTAGAGTCCCTAAACTACATTCTCACTTAGTTATTAATTCTAGATCCCTAAAACTAATTTGTTTTGTGTCTCATTTCCCTTATTTGATCAAGATACACTGGCACAATTTGGTCATGCTGACTTGACAAAGGTCTTCCTGCTCATCAGTCAGAATCTAAGATGTACTGTTGATGTTATACTCACATTCAAACACTGAACCTCTAAGTTCAATGTATATTTATAATTAAAGGCATTGTGGATTTCCAGAGCAAAATTAACTAAATCAGCGCCAAATATCTTTGCACTTCATTACCATCCTAATGAAAACAGGGTAGAGAAAAAAAATCTGCTCATTTCTCATAAGAATGAGAATTCAGGATTATAAATATTTATCAAAGAAAGATATGGTCCATACAAATAAAAGGAAATATTAAGTCATAAATATAGGCAGCATATATTAACACAATGCCTAGAAAAGCAACTTTCGAAATACAACAATCATTTGGAAATTCTTAATCAGCTAAGAACTTTTTTCAGCCTATGGGACTATAAAGCTGCTGGGTCAATAACAAATATATACTCACCCCCTTAAGGTAGCAGATGAGATTGTGAAGCCAACTCAGGAATGATGTATCTGCACAGTCCTGTATGATCACACACTTTCCACCGAGTCTCAAATCCACTACCCTTATACTCACTTCCTTGGATAGGTAACACTCAGATACACTCTGAGGGTGAAAGGGAACAGGAAATAGACACAGAAGAGTTAAGACAGGAAAACTGGCCTGTCAACACTTGGGAAGAGCTCCCTTTCCTATCCCAAGACACTTGGGCCCTAAGGACACAGGAAGCATAGATACCCAAGAAATATGAACTGAACAGAAGTAGATAGACCTGTCCCTTCACTCTAGCTGTTGCTCGGTGAGTCTGCAGACGCAGTACTTAGTGAGATGACGTCCTGACCGAGGCATCCTCTTGATGGCTGGCTGTTTAGTGAGATCTGTGAGGAGATGATCCAGAAAAAGAGAAGGACTTCACTTTCATAGGAGAACTAAGGATTTCACACCTTCTTTGTCTGTGGGCTGCCTTTTACTATAAATCTAAGTAGACCTTTGCCTGGCTTAATGGAGTGAAGAGTGAAGTAAATGACAGCTGCAGCCTGCAATTATTCCAAGGGAAAAAAAAAATCAAGTAAGAGTTCCATTATTACTGTATCTTCCAGGATTATTAAAACAAACAACTTGGGGTTAAGAATTAATGTTGGGAAAGTATTCTTTATATTAGATATAGAAACTATATAGTAATGAAAGAATCTGTAGGCAAAATTTATCAACTCTCCTTCCTTAAACAGAGCTTTTTGGTTAATATTTAGTACATTTAATCAGTAACCACAGCAGTATATGGATTGGAATATTGCTGTTAAATTTCATATAATTGGCAAAATGCAAAGTTGAATTAATCTTACTTCATGTTATTTCTTTTTCATATGTTGGTATGAACTAGACCACCCTATAAAACAGGACCAGAAATGTTTCTCTTGAGACATCATGGAGAAGGAAACTGAGCAAAGAAATTGAATTTAAATCTGAAAGAGATGGCTCTAATATTTATCAAACATCTCTACCTAGGCTAAAATATTTGATCCTCTCAAAGCCATCTGAGGCATAGATGTTATTATTACCACTTTATAAATGAAGAAACTGAGGCTTAGGAATTTAAGTAGCTAACTGATGGTCACACAGCCAGTGAGTGGCAGAAGCAGGATGCAAACATAGGTATATTTTACATGAATATTTCTGATTCCAAATTCTGTGCTCCTTCCTAGGCCATCTTACTTACCATCTGAGCCATTTTATAGATAAAAGAATTAGTAATTAGTTTCTTTTCACCTTTGGCAAATAAGAAAACTACAGTTCAGAGTAGTTAAGTGTCTTCCTAAAGTCAAATAATAATTCTATGCCACAGAATTCAAACCCACTTTTTCACAACAGATTTGCTGCCATAACACAGATGTCATGAAAACACCACTAGATCTAAGCCAATATGGGAAAGGTAACAACTCATATCTTTATCATTGTCACTGGACACATGTATTAGGCTATCTGATCCATAGATGTTGTGGGATCAACAAAAGAACCTTAGAAAAATTGAGACAGAGGATGCTAAGATGTAAAAAGTCTTCAAGCATGTCTGAGTCTTAGATAAACTGAAAGCTGAACGTGGGTGTGTGGTATCACCATTGATATCCTCTGTATAAAACTCGGAACCACCAAGTAGTATATGACCTGATACCTTAGGACACAAAGACTTTATCAAAAACATGATTATAGGCATATATCAGGCTGAGTTGTCCTGACTGTTGCACTGAAGTTGGTGAATTTGAAGGGGTATCTACACAAATGGGCAGATCTCTTCTGGCTTACTCACCGGGTGTGAAACAATTCATTGGGGTGTTAACAAAATGGATTCTACCGAGCCACCCTACAGCTAGAAAAAGTAAGAGATCTTTAAGGAAGTCAGCACCTACACTAAGAAAATTTGCTACAATTGTAACCCAGTAGCATTTGTGTCAATTTCTGGTTGGAACGGTGACAACATGCTGGAGTTCAACACAAACATGTTTTTGTTCAAGGAGTGGAAAGTCACCTGTAAAGATGCCAGTGAAACCAGGCTGCTTGAAGCTCCGGATGGCATCCTGCCACCACTCAACCAGCTGACAGCCCTGTGTCTGCCCCTCCAGACATCTACAAAGCTGGTGGTATTGATACTGTTCCTGTGGGGACTGGTATTCTCAAACCTGGCCTGACAGTCACCTTTGCTCTCTCTAGTCAACATTACAACTGAAGCAGTCTGTTGAAATACACTACAAAACTGTGAGTGAAGCTCTTCCTAGGGACAATATGGGCTTCAATGTCAAGAATGTATCTGTCAAAAATGTTATGACACTACGGCTTGTGACAGCAAAAATGACCCACCAATGGAAGCAGCTGGCTTCACAGCTCAGGTGATTATCCTGAGCCATCCAGGCCAAGTCAGTGACGGCTATGCACCTGTGCTGGACTGTCACACAGCTCATGTTGCTTGCAAGTTTGCTGAGCTGAAGCAAAAGACTGATTGATCATCATTCTGGGAAGTAGCTGGAAGATGGCCCCAAATTCTTGAAATCTGGTGATGCTGAGATTGTTGATATAGTTTCTGGCAAGCCCATGTCTGTTGAGCACTTCTTTGACTATCCTTTTCTGGATCATTCTGCTGTTTGTGACATGAGACAGATGTTTGCTGTGGGCATCATCAAAGCAGTGGACAAGAAGCCTGCTATAGCTCGAAGGTCACCAAGTCCACCCAGAAAGCTCAGAAGCTGAAGTGACCATTATCTCTTCACCAGCCACTCCAGTCTTCATCAGTGGTAGGAGAACAGTCTCAGAAATATTGTTTCTGTTAACCATTTAATAGTGAAACAGTGTTCAATGATAATGCATCATAAAACCTGCAGAAGGGAAGGGCAATATTTTATGGACTATTATGTGGGGAGGAGCAGTTTTAAGTCATTAATTTTTAATGGAAACAATTTGAATGGGTCACAGAATTTTGAGACCCATTTAAACAAAGTTTAGTGAAAAATCTGTATCTTCTTTCAGTCAACATTGTAAATTCCTATAGTGCTATGTAAGTAAATGATATAATCTACTTTTGGTGTTCCATCTGCTGAAACTTCAAAATCTGATATTTCTAGGTTAACGTTTTTTGGATTTTTTCACCTTTTCTCAGAGGAAGAATCACCTATGTTTTTTAAGGACATAGTGTAAACTATGGGAAGGTATCTGTTGACTGAAAGAGTTCATAGGTTAGGACAAACAAGCAAAGAGCATCTTCATTTATGAGCCAGCTATGTATAAAAAGGCCAAACTCTATAATAATAAAATTTATGTGTTTCATATAAAATTGTGTAGTTATATCAGTATTGAGTAAATTTGTCAGTACAATCTCAAATTTTCCTTTCCTAGTTATTGGATTGTGCATCCTCACATTTACAAATATTGAAGTAATATAGAAAACCTACTGTATGAGGCTTAAATAGTATTGAGGACTGCCCAACTAAAGTGCACCATATCTAGATTCTAGGAAAAATAAAGATTCTGGAAGTTGAAGGAAAAAGGAAAAGAATTCAAACCCAGAACTTCTAATTCCCTCTTCAGGACTCTATCCATTGCCCAGATGACTGTAACACTCTACTAAGTCCACTGTTTATCATTTTTTAATGTCCTTTGTAACTTGAGCATTTACTACTTAATCTACACGATATTCAAGGCCATCCTGCCTCTTAAAATCTAGACAAGACTACTAGTCTCCAACACACCTCCTGCTGAAAGGCCAACCTCCTCTCTTCTTGTCCTCATGACCACCTCTTGCTCTAGCTGGCTTCTGGCTCTCCACTCAGCATCATGCAACTTTGTCTTTACTGCTGTGTGGGTTCTTGAACTGCTTTCCTTAGTTTTGCACACAAACAACAGCAAATCATTCACACAAAGGCTTTGTGTAGAAGAAAGTGTAGAGAAGTGAAGAAGTGGGGTTGCACTGCTAACACGTAAGCAGTTGGAGTTTATGATAACCACCCTGTTGCATGAAGTCTTTTGGCTGATTTCCCATGTTGCACAGACATCCTCTCCTTTTTGTCCATTCTCACCAACACCAGCTTTTTTAAAAAATGCAAAGTAATTCTAACCTCCATTTGTCCTGCCCCAGACTTATGACTCTGACAATGACCTATTTTTTCATACTGAAATCTCTGAGGTATTTTCTTTGTTTAAGACCACTTATTCCAAAGAGAAATATACTATTGACTATTAAGAAAACAATGGGATTTTTTTTACCATGCACCAACTATACCTCATGCTCTGAGAATTACATAGGAAGATCTGCTCTGAAGTAGTTAATCTAATAGGGAAAAAATGCACATAAGTCAAATTTGAAACTTCTCATGGGCCTCACTAGGCTACGAAAACAATGAGATTACACAGTTTTAATGGTTCATTTTCTACAACAGGTTCACCTCCCCCAGGACTTCCTGGTCTCATGTCCTCATAGATATAAAGAAGGCCAATACAATGGAAATTCAGCCAATATAATTATGAAGACTATATAACATAATTATAGGGGGAAAGATACCTGGGGGCTGAAGGGAAAGTTACTAGCTTAACCATGGGCAAATATAGCCCACCTGAGGTTTAAGTCAGTTATTTAGGTTTCTGAACTTGAGTCACCAGGGTTCAGTGGTAACAATTTCTAAATATCTGTTTGTTTAATCTATTTTAGTTTTACACACTCCCCCCCAAAAAAGAAATCTAAGGTTCTCTGGGATTTCCATTTCTGACCAAATGGAAAGTACTAACATTAAGAAGCCAACAAATGTCCATCAGTAGATGAATGGATAAAGAAGATGTGATACATATACACAATGGAATATTACTCAGCCATAAGAAAAAAACAGATCCTACCATTTGCAACAACATGGATGGAGCTAGAGGGTATTATGCTCAGTGAAATAAGCCAGGCGGAGAAAGACAAGTACCAAATGATTTCACTCATATGTGGAGTATAAGGACAAAGGAAAACTGAAGGAACAAAACAGCAGCAGAATCACAGAACCCAAGAATGGACTAATAGTTACCAAAGGGAAAGGGACTGGGGAGGATCAGTGGGAAAGGAGGAACAAGGGCAGGAAAAAAGAAAGAGGGCATTACGATTAGCATGTATAGTGTGGGGAGGGCTGTGCAACACAGAGAAGACAAGTAGTGATTTTACAGCATCTTACTACACTGATGGACAGTGACTGTGAAGGGGTATGTGGGGGAGACTGAGGAAGGGAGGAGCCTAGTAAACATAATGTTCTTCATGTAATTGTAGATTAATGACACCAAAAGAAAAAAGAAAAGAAAGCAACTGGCAATAGAAATCCATTTAACTTCATGTTACTATTTTTTTATAAGCAGTGAGAACTAG